AAAAAAAAAAAAAAAAAAAAAAAAAAAAAAGACACATTTATTCAGCGTCATGATCAGACTATTACATTTAGCAATCAACAGCATGGGTGAAAAAAGGTCTACAGTAAAACCCTTTGTTGGAATGCTTTACACTTTCCACAGAACAGAAACTAAAATAACCTGTTATACAATTAGTCACAAATACAGTCCTGGAGTTTTTTTTGCCCATACACATGAGTATTGTCTAAAAACATGTCTTCTTTGTAGCAGCTAGGCCCTGCCACCACTGTGCTTGGCTGAGTTCACAAATCTGCTGTAACCTGTAGCTTCCCTGTCACTTCTCTGGCTCTCCTCTCCTGCTAAGCTTTGTTTCCTGTTGAACAATATGGAATAAAGTTGTTAATCTAAAACACATTAAGACTCAAGGCTACAATCCAATAGAGCAAGTTGTTTCCCACAAATTTTGCTAAACTGCACATTAAACTTTTAATATCCACCATTACTACAATTATAATGTTAACTATGATGCACTGCTCAGCTACATTTGGGTTACTGGGTTCAATGATAAAATTAAGTCAACACACACAGAACAGACACTTACCTGGCTGTGATGTGATTAGAACCTCCTGCCGCTGCCATAGCTACTGCTGCTGCTGGAACCTCCATAGCCACCTGAAGTATTAAAACATCTTGCTTCAATATAATACCAACGGTTTTATAGTAATTGTACAGACAAGCTCAATGAACTGTTAAAAATGTCTCTGGCCTAAGCTAACACAATCTACTATGGTTTACATGACATTTTTTCGTTGGTCTTTTGGGGAAGATGGAACTATTATTAGTCTTTTGCTGTATCATATATACCATACCTTGGTTTCGTGGTTTAGCAAAGTATTGGCCTCCACCACCATAAGGGCCAGAGCTCCTGCCTCCAAAGTTTCCTCCCTTCATTGGTCCAAAATTTGAAGACTGATTGTTGTAATTTCCAAAATCATTGTAGCTTCCACCACCTCCAAAATTGCTTCCTAGAAATGAATTAGTCTTTATTGATCACTTGAGGACTGATAAGCCAATTCTGTAATTCTGTTTAGGGTCTTGAATGAAAAAAAAAAAAAAAAAAAAAAAGCAGCCTTCTTCAAAACCTTTACATTTCATTCTCTGAGCAAGGTATCAGTTAACAAATAATCAGCATTTAAATATAGAAAATCAGAGTTATGACACAACACAGTTGTTTCCCACAGTACTTTAGATTTCATGTATTCTTCTAGGCCAACACAGCATTTCTTGGACATACTAGCTAAATGCCTGAAATCCCAAGGGGATGCAGATACTAAGTCCAGCTACGGTGTTAACCTAACTCTCACACTGAAGCCATCACTAACCACTCGTCCACCTACTTATTTTTGGGGAGGCGGCCCCAGCTTAAAGCCAGGAGGAGGAGGTAGCACAGCAAGCCTACTCTACTGAACCATGCAGTGTACTCACAATGCTTTGAGAGCTTTCAGCTCTAGTCCAACAAAGGTGTAAGCTCTAGAAGCCTAATCTAGCTTCCACACCAAGCACTTGCACCACTGGATACCTACCACTACCACCGCCAAAGCCGCCTCCGCCGTTGTTATAGCTGTCATAGCTGCCACTCCCGCCATAGCCACTGCCCTGGTTTCCATAACCCTGTCCACCACTTCCATAGCCTCTGCTTCCTCCAGAGTAACCAGGGCCGCCTCCTCCATAACCACCTACAAGAATACAAGTCTTCTCAATAAGACAAGCGTATTTAACAAGAAAAAAAAAAATCTATGCAAGCGTAAAGGCTCAAGGCCTGCTCACAACATGCGTGTCACAGGACGGTTGAGCTTTATCATGCACTGGGTTTAGTCTCTACTTGCCTATTCTAAAGGTATGACAGAAAACTTTTACCTAAAGAGTCTTTAAGAAACTTACCATCATTACCAAATCCATTATAGCCATCCCCACTGCCACCATATCCACCACCACCACGGCTGCCACCAAAGCCACCTGGAAGAAACCAAAACTTTATATATTAACACTTATCAAAAATGCATTAAGGACTATATTTGGGCAAACTGGGTAACTGCTGGAAACACAGGCCAGCAGTTACTAGTTGAAGATTTAAAACCAGTAAGAAATAAAAAACAAGTAATACATACCACGACCACTGAAGTTTCCTCCTCGACCAAAATTGTCATTGCCACCAAAACCACCTCCACGACCTCCACCAAAGCTTCCAGAACCACTTCGACCTAACAGATGTTTGGATCATTAGGCCAACTGTAACAACTCACACGGGCCTCCACAGTCTAACAGCATTATACACACCTCTCTGGCTGGATGAGGCACTAGCCATCTCTTGTTTTGACAGGGCTTTTCTTACTTCACAGTTGTGGCCATTCACAGTATGATATTTTTGAACTAAAAACATAAAATAAAATTTCGTGGCTTTAAAATACAAATGATTTCAGAACCATTAGGAAAACGCAAACATCTGATACTCACTAACAATCTTATCCACAGAGTCATGGTCGTCAAAGGTGACAAATGCAAAGCCTCTCTTCTTCCCACTGCCTCTGTCAGTCATGATTTCAATCACTTCAATTTTTCCATACTGTTCAAAGTAATCCCGCAGGTGATGTTCTTCAGTGTCTTCTTTAATACCACCAACAAAGATCTTTTTCACAGTTAAATGGGCCCCTGGTCTCTGAGAATCCTAAAAAGAAAACCGACTTCGGTTATTTAGTAGCATGCAGCACACTTTCAAATGACTACTGGCAGCTGTGACGGCCCACACAGCTAATTCCCCAGCACTCAGAAGGCAGGCGGATCTGAGTCTAGGGCAGCCAAGGGAAGGAAAACCACTCACTTCTCTCGACACGGCTCTCTTGGGTTCAACAACTCTTCCATCCACCTTGTGTGGTCTCGCGTTCATAGCGGCGTCTACCTCCTCCACAGTAGCGTAGGTGACGAACCCAAAGCCCCTGGATCTCTTGGTGTTTGGGTCTCTCATTACCTGTAATGAGAGAGTAATTCAATTGGCATATTGCTTGATCTCAGAGCTTAATGCCATCCCCAAAGAGCACGGCCAACCTTAAAACTTCACCCAGACTGGTATATAAAGCCCTTTCAGACATCACACCAACAAAGCCACATAACACATCTAGCCAAGAAGCAAAATGATTAAATAAAAAAAAAAAAAAAAAAAATTAAGCCAGTTCGGTCTTTCCTTTCTTTTAATCTTACCACACAGTCGGTGAGTGTCCCCCATTGCTCAAAATGGCTCCTCAGACTCTCGTCGGTTGTTTCGAAGCTCAGACCTCCGATGAAGAGCTTCCGCAGCTGTTCCGGCTCCTTGGGAGACTGAAGTGGAGGAAGATGAGCTTTGGTGGATGGGCTGGAACTCGGGCGAATAAATCAACACCACGCACTAACACACACCGCACTTTTTATTGTTCTTCATTACCACACAGGACCACGTGCTCCTCCTCCCTGTGCCAGGAGGTAAGTAGTAGCACGCAGCGCATGCGTCCCTACTCTACTCTATACGCACGCGCAACAAAAGATTCGGGGTAGACTGGTTAACACTTAAGTAGATTTTTAACAAGCGCTTATTAGACAAAGTGAAAAGGAAGCCATAACCCCCAGATCGTCTAAGAATTCTGCCACCAGGAACGGTGCATGGAAATTAGTGCCTATTGGCCCACAGCCTCATGGCGACTAAGAGGACAAAATGGCGACCTGCACTTTGTGGGTAGGCCTCGGCAGCAACAGATCAAACACCGAAAGCACGGATGCCGGCAACAAAACAGATCGGATCCCGCCATTTCCAGTAAGTGGGGAGGAGAGCGAGTTTGCGGAGCGCGCCCCACTCACCTCTGACTTAGACATGACGGCAGGGCGATGAGAGCCTTCGGCGATGCTTCCTCGGCCGCGTCAACAGGCAGAAAGGAGCAAGCGAGGGAGCGTATCCGCCAGACTACCTTCTGCTCGCCCTTTTATCCCGCCTCCTCGCCTTCGGCATTGGTAGACTCCGCCCTAGCTTAGCTCCTATTGGCCGCCTGGAGTTACTCCCGCCCCCCATTGGCCTGTGAGACGCCCTGCTAAGACACGGCATCCGCGTGGGCGTTCCGCGCAGGCTCCGCCCCTCAGAGCCGTCGCCGCCCCAGGGGAAGCTGTTCTTAGCCGAGCGGGAGCGGGTTGCCGGACCGGCCAGTCGTCTGTAGTTGAGCGTGCCCACTCCCGAATGCCGCAAGCACACGAAGCGCTAGGAAAGGAGTTTGTCTGGCCACCACCCACAAAGCTATGTGTAGTTAAAAAATAAATAAATAAGTAAAAAATGGCGAGTTCACGCCGGCGCAGTGCGCAGTTCCGCCTGCCGCCTGCCACACGGGAAATGGCGGGCGGGAGAGCGCTGGACCCAGGCGCCTGCGTAGTGGCGGCACTGTGTCCTGTTTTGCGCAGGCGTTCTGGGCGGAGAAAAGGTCCGGGCCCAGGATTGGTTGCGCAGGCGCAGGGAAGGATCCGTTTTGGCGGGCGGTTGGCGTTGCGCAGGAGGTGGTGGTAGCGGTGGCCTGTGGCGCAGCTTTACCACAGAGGAGCCGTGCAGGCCTTAGTGTGTGTGATCACTGTAGATCCCGGGTAAGTGGCAGAGAGCCTTGTCTACCTGCAGGAGACCTTGAACCCCCTCCAGCTGCACCCGTTATTGTACAAAATGAATGGGCGCCCGGACTGGCGGGCGCGGGTGGGAGGGGGCGACGGCTGTGAAGGGGCAGCGGTGGGCCGGGCCAGCCAATAGGACGATCGGGGCGGGCTGTCTTCACTCTGCAGATTCTTTGCAGCTGCGTCGCCGAAGCGTGTGACTGGCGAGTGTGTAGGCCAATTGGGTCTTGAGGTAGCTGTCTGCTAATCGGTCCTTGGGCCAGCGGAATGTGGGGGCGGGTTTTTCCTTCCTGAGTTGCGTGTCTTGGAGCCAATGAGCCCCGAGCGCGCGGTAGGCCGGCCTCCGACTGGAGGCAGAGGCTGGATGCCAGTGGGGAGCGCGGGAGTTGTCAGGTAAAATTCACGGACCAATCCTGCCGCCACAGACTTCCCCCCAAAGGGAGATACTCTTCTTGGAGTTATAGGGTGCATGTTTTGTCTACAATGAACCCTACAAGGAAGGCATTTATTCCGTACGTCACCTTAAGGAAAGCATATGTTTTCTTGTGCCGCTTGAGTTTGGCTTTTTTCTTGTTCTTTCCTGTACGTTCCACCTTTCACTTGAGACTTTGGAAAACGTAGCGAGGGAGCCGTTAGTCTTTAAAAAAAGAACGTTAAAATGGCTACATCAGTGCTGTAATAAAAAAATAGACTTAAACACTACCACCAGATTCCAGAGACACACATCTGTGTTTGTATGGCCACAGAAAGTTTGAGAGCTACCTGTATAAGTCAAAATGTGTTTTTATGGAAACAGTGGGGTCGTTCCCTTGTGTTTGAGAGGTAATTGTCATTAATGGAATAACGAATAATAAAATAATGGACTCATTTGTTTTTTGTTTCCAGTTATCATATACTTCTCACCAACATTCATGTCTTCAATTCTTTAATCTGAGTTTCTTCTCCGAGGAACATTTACTTCCCCTAACAGTCTTTTTTAACATTGTCTTTTTTTTTTAACTTTTATTAATTACACTTTATTCACTTTGTATCCCTCTATAAAACCCTCCCTCCTCCCCTCCTAATCCTACCTTCCGTCCCCCTTCTTGACGAATGCCCCTCCTCAAGTCCACTGATAGGGGAGGTCCTCCTCTCTTTCCTTCTGATCCTAGTCTATCAGATCTCATCAGGAGTGGCTGCATTGTCACCTTCTGTGGCCTGGTAAGCCTGCTCCCTCCTCAGGGGGAGGTGATCGAAGAGTAGGCCAATCAGTTTATGTTAAAGGCAGTCCCTGTTCCCATTACTAAGGAACCCATTTGGACACTGAACTGCCGTAGACCACATCTGTGCAGGGGTTCTAGGTTATCTCCATGCATGGTACTTAACATTATCTCTTTATAGATTTTCTACAGTGATATTTTTTTTTTAAACATGGTTTCTCATCCATGTTGTTTTAAACTCATTATGTAGCCCAGTTTGATCTTTACTCAAAGCAATCCCGTCTCAGTCTTTCAGGTGGTAAGGTTACGGGTATGACCCACCATACCAGACTTTTGATCCTAAGTGTACATTCGATAAAATGAGCTTTGCCAAACAAGTCTGTGGATGAAGTACTGTGCTCTCATCTGTAATGCATTTCTTAAAAAGTAGGTCAGTTTCAAGGTTCTGGTTATGACTCAATTGTTCGAATGCTGGTCTACCAAGCGTGGAGTCCTGGATTTTATCCCCATCAGGGAATAAACTTGGCATGGTGGTGCTGACCTAACAATCCCAGTAGTAGGGACATAATGGGAAGAGGACGAGCTCAATGCCATCCTCAGCTCCATATCAATCTGAAGGCCATTCCAGGCTTTATGAGACCCTGCCTCAAATCCACCCCTCTCCCAGTAGACACAAAGAGAGAAAATAGGTCAGTTTCTGCTGCCCAAATTTGAGGAGAAAAAATGCTGACATTGATCACCAGATCATGCCACCTTCGGAATCCACTGAGTGGATACCTACCAACTGTGTATTTACACACTAATTGGTGGCCTTTATTTAATATTTTTACTGGTATTTTTTGGGGAGGGGAAAGTTGAGGCAGGGTTTCTCTGTGTAGCCTTGGTTGTCCTAGAACTTGCTCTGTAGAGCAGACTGGTCTCAGAGATCCACCTGCCTCTGCCTCCTGAGGACAGGGATTAATGGCCTGTGCCATCACTGTCCGGAGTATTTTGTCTGATAATTTTTATACACATTTACCTTTCTCAAAATTGTGCCAGTGCTACATTGTATTGAGTTTGAAAACAATGTAGCTATCATTTGATACAGTTTGACTGTTTACACATTGTTATTCATGAACTTTAACTGAACAATCATCTTTTTTCCTTGACATGAACTTCTACTTTCTTTGAACATAGAAGATGACTTTAACTCATTGTACTGATAGAAGTGTAGGGGCTCAAGAGATAGTTAAGCGTTTCCTGTTGTTGTAAAGGATCTCAGTCTAGTTTCCAGTTCCCAGGTCAGATGACTCAAAATCACCCATAACCCCAGCTCCAGGGCTCCAACACCACTGGCCTCCTTAGATACTCATGTGTACATGAACACAGATTTTTAAAATTCTTAAAAAAAAAAAAGAAAAAGAAAAAAAAGAAGCTAGGTTGTTTTGAGAAGCGTTGGCTTGTGTTTAATGAAAGCTACGAATTTGTTGGATTCTGTAAGCCACTTGGAGCCACATAGTCATTTCTGATGACAGCTTTACACTTGTGCTGACAGAGCACCCACAGTGACAACTGTGCCTATGTTTAGTCTGTCCAGGAGCTCAGCCCACTATCTCGCTTGTGGAAAAACCCTACACTGTTCTTGTTAACAGCTATGAAAATATTAGACCTCTAAGAGTTTGTCTTAGGTGTGCAGGTTTATTTTGGACAAATTGTATCCTGCATTTGTTTGTTTGTATTTTGAGACAATGTCTCACTATGTAGCTCTGGCTGGTCTGGAGATTAAAGGCATGCACCACCACACCTGGCTATATCTTGTAATTTTTTTAAAATGTATTTACTCATTGTTATGAGGTTTATACAGCAGACCACTAGGGAGGCAGAGGCAGGTGGATCTATGAATTTGAGGCCAGGGTAGCCAACTTGGTTAACATAGTGAGAACCTGTTTCAAAAAAGTGAGGTTGGTCTTGGAGGTATATGCCTTTAATCCCAGACCTCAGGAGGAAAAGGCAGACATATCTGTAGAGGAATGTTAATTCAGAACATGGCTGCTCTGGCAAGAGATCACATCCAAAGACCTAGGTCTGTGTGATCCAACTGGAATACAGGTTGCCTTTAATCCAGGAGATAGCAAGCCGATCTGAGTTCAAGGCCAGCCTGGTATAGAGCAAGTATCCGGTAAAGAAAAGCTTAGGTCTAAATGTGGTGGTACACGCCCTTAGCCTCAAACAATGAGGGTAAAGTTAGTTTGTAGAAGGAAGCACCCATGTTTCAAAGTGATGTTTAATCGAGTGGCAGAAAAACTGATGAATCCCTGAAAGATTTGACAGAATAGGACGCACTGAGAAGCAAAGGGAAGCTACTTAAGGGGCAATGCAGAGAGGAGGAGAGGAGGGAGAGAGGGAGAGGAGGCAGTTTTACGAGGAGAGTTTTACAGAGAGGCTGAATGAGAGAACAAGCCGAAGAATAAAGAGCCAGAAGATTAGAAAAGATGGCTGGAGTTAGTTTGAGGTCAAGCAGGGCAATTCAGGGGCAGAGCGAGAAACCAAATTGAGTAAGTCAGCTGGGAGAGGAGTTTGAGCCAGGACAGCTGAGCTGAACCAGCCAGCCCAGAGCTCTGGAAGAACAACAAAAAGTGAGCTTATTAAGCCATCTCAAAGGCCAAAAACATTCTAGGCCAGGGTTAGATTGTGCAGAGGCTAAGAGCTTCCAGAACAAGGCCCTTGGTTAGCAGAAGTCAGTAAGCCTCCAAGACAATTGAAACAGGCAAATGTTCCTTTTACTCATATCTTTGCATTTGAGGCCAGGCTGCTCTACATAGTGTGTTTCAGAGCAGCCAGAGCTTCTTAGTGAGACCCTGTGTCAAAAAATAAAGGAACAAAGGGCTAAGGCAGAGGATGGTAAATTTGGGACCATCTTGATCTACTTGGTGAGATCCCCTCTCAAAACAAGAACAGCAAAGACAAGTCAGGCTGGGCATGGTGCCACACACCTTTAATCCCAGCATTTGGGAAACAGGCAATTTCAAGGCCAGCCTGGACAAGATAGAGGAAAAAGTATTAGACATTCTTTGGATTATTTGAAGCAGAATTCTTTTGTGTTTTGATTGGGTGCCGAACCCAGAGCTTTGAACATGCTCAGCACA